ATAATTAAAATAATTAAATTAACCTATTTTTGTATTTTATTTTATTTTATGAAAGAAATAAAAATTAAATCAAAAGAAAACCCTAATTTTCCTAATTTGATTTTAATTATAAAAAAGAAAGGTTAGAATTATCCTAAATTAAATTAAACTAGCATTAAATTGAATTGAATGAAATAAAAAAAAACTAATTCTAAATTTGTGAAATTTGATTTTATGATTTTTTGTGAAAAAAAGAAATTATTTGTGTTAGAAAATAATTTAAACAAATTAAATTAAATAAAAGAAAAATTAGAAAAGAATAAGAATGGGCCTGAGGTAAATAGCAAAAGGGAGGGGTGTTGTTGGCAAATTCTGGGCCCAAATGCTGATGGCCTTTGTTGACTTTCCTAATCCCCTACAGGCACTTGACTCATGTCCATGGTGGTCCTTCACGTGGGAAGCCTTGGATCTGACATGTTGCTGATCTGGTGGTTGGACGCTGAGGATGTATGGTGGGTCCTTTGCCATGTGGTGCATTGAATCCTCTTGCAAATATTGAGAAAATAAAATTCACACGCCTGGGATCAAACCCAGGACGTGTGCATCAAAGACTAATGGCCTTACCACTGTGCTGGCTTGCTTAGTTGAACAAATAATGACAAATAAATATTATATAATAAAACAAATGGCTAACTCAAACCACGCGCGAAATTCAAAACTGGCTATTCACAGGATGCCACACTATCATCTTCCTCTTTGCCTCCATCGCTTTAAACAGAAGACCTTTACCTACGAACACCAGGTGTAGGTATAACCCTGTGCTTCTCCAAAACTTCATACAGGCATGATAAATGACAAACAATGGTACCAATCAACTCGTTGCAACATCACGAGCATCATGGTACCATTATCCATGGCCAATTGTTCCTGTACAGAAAAACCCTAAAAACGAAGCAAGAACCCTAACTATGGCATCTTGCTGTACAGTTAATGAAAACGCAATTAAATATGACCATTAGCTTGCAAACATCATAAGGTTTAAGAATATATCAATGAATCATGCTAAATGTGCCAGAATTATGATATACGAGTTCAAGAAAGTATGGAAATCGTGTGACACTTACAGTGCATTTTAAGGCGTGGAGAAGCTTGCTAATGATTGAAATAGGATCCTAGGACGTCCAGTAAGCGATTGGGATGGTTAAAACGCCTTGAATTGAGTTGTAACGTGGAGATCAGTTTGCCACTTTTCTTGAACTTTTTGAAACTTGCTTTTTGTTTTGCACGCCTCCAACCTCCTGTTTATGGTCTGCAAATGTTCCTTATGTACCCTAGAACGAATTAGGGTTGCAAACTTGTATCAAATCTTTTCCAATTAAGATCATTGATTCATGATTTGATCCTTTGTGCAAATCTTTCCAAATCAAGCAAAATGCAATCTTTTGTAACCATATGATCCTTGCACGATTTTATTTCACTTCCAACTGTATAATAGACCTAAACATCCACAAAATCTCAAGCTTTGATTAGTTTTTGATATTTTTATTATTTTATTTTGATTTTATTTGATTTAATTGAAATAAAATCAAAATAAATAACAAAAATAAAATAATGATAAGTGGAAGGGCTTATGGGTCTTGGGTCACATTACAAACTCAGTGCAAGCATAAAAGGTTGGGCCCATTTAGCAAAAATTGCAATTTTGGCCACTTTTGACTTTTGGCAATTTTGCAAAAAGGGTCAACTTTGCCAATGCATAACTCTTTCAATTTTGACCCTAGAGATGTGTTCTTGGACTTTTTATAAAGCTTGAGATGTCCTATAAGAAACCCTTTTGGTCTCATCTCAATTGAGTCTATGTATGAAGCTTTGACCCAAAAGGTGTTTTTGTTGACTTTTCAAAATGACCTATAATGTCCAAATTCATATCTTCTTGTGAGTGCATATTCTGAACTTGGGAGATGAAGATTAATTGTAGGGAATTGCATCCTCTTCAAAATTAGATTTGGATGGGTCATTTTTGATAAAGTATGAGAAAGTTATGCTTGGTCAAAGTTGAGTTGACTTTTCCTACAAAACCCTAATTTAGCAACTTTTGGGTTTTGATGAATTATGAGCAATCCTTGAGGAATCATGATCAAACATTGATCAAATGATGAATAATACTTCAAAATGAGGATGTTGACCAAAAATGTTGAAGTTTGACTGTATGTGGGACACAATTGACTTTTTCCCTAGCATAGTCGATTTTCAGGCCTTTGAGCAATTGACTGAGCAAATTTCTTCTGCAAGGCTTGACACTTGACATGGATGATCTTGAGAACATATTAGGACAATGGTTAGCATTTGGGATCCTTTGGACTCAAACATCTTGATGCAAACTAAAACCCTAATTTGGGGTAGACTTCCTTAGGAGAGAGTTTGTCTGATCAACCCTTGGACTTCCTTGAGCAATTTGAAGACATCACTTGACATGTATTGAGAAATATGGCAGGGCAAATTTTAGGGTACAACATCTGCCCCTGTTCAATCTTCTTAAACCTGAGGATGTAGATTGGCTTGTCTGCCTTTCGTAATCTGAAGGTGGAAGATGATTGAACACTAGAGTGCCCAGAAATTTGCACTCGCATGAAGTGGTATTTGTCTTACGATATCGGGAATGGGCTTATAGATGCCATTTGAAGGTTGATGTCGGAAGATGGGCTTAAAGATGCCATCAGAGGAAGTGTCAATCGCATAAGAGATTCCTTTGCGAGAGCCCGTATACCTATTGTTGAGGAGGACTTCGTTGGGGAATGCTGGTCTCTGTCTTGAGAGAAATAGAGTTTTAGCAACTTTAGTTGTCCGTTACTCTACTGGGGAATCATCTCTTAGTCGAGGAGGTGAAGATGAACTACTATTTGGTCGTGCTCCAGGCTTTACAGTAATTTGCTGAGGAAAATAAGGCAGACTGCTATCTGGTCGTGCTCCAGGCTTCACAATGACTTACTGGGGGGATGAGATTAAACTTGCTATCTGGTCATTCTCCAGGCTTTGCAATTTCTCAATTCTTATCTGGTCGTGCTCCAGGCTTCAGAAGGAATCAAGTGGTTATCCGGTCGCATCCGGGCTTCCATTTGATTTCAAGGCATACTAATATCCGGTCGATTTCCGGGCTTCTTAGTAATTGGCCGGGTAAACTGCTATTTGGTTGAATTCCAAGCTTCGCAGTACCCTACACTGTTATCTGGTCGTGTCCTAGGCTTCAATGTCTTTTGCCTCTATCTGGTCATGATCCAGGCTTCACAGTGTCTTATACCATTATCTGGTCGATCTCCAGGCTTCATGGTATCTGGTATTGCTATCTGGTCGATTTCCAGGCTTCACAATAATTTGCTGAGGGTTAAGCTATTTTCCGGTTGATCCCCGGGCTTCATAGCTTATATTTAAGATGTACCACTATCTGGTCGATTCTAGGCTTCATAGTATTTTGGAGAAATTAAGATATTATCCGGTTGATCTCCGGGCTTCATAGCTTGAACTGGAATAGAAATCTTAGTATCGATTTGACTGAACCAGAGAAAACTTGTGAGAATTTGGTTGTATCTTTCCCTAAAAGGTATAGAGTTAGTTGTATGTAATGTCATGATGTATGAAATGTATTGAGTAATGATGTTCTCAAAATGAATGAGATTATGTTGCATGATGCGCATGCGCATGCCATGATGTATGGATATGCAATGTTCTTGTGATATCCTCCGACTGGGGATAATAAATCTTGGACTATTGCTGGAGAGTACAAGGAATTGAGTTCTTCGTTCTCGTTTGGGATAGTGACCGAAGATGATTAGTTGGAGACTTGCGTCTGTCCTGCTTGAGAACATTTTGTCGGGAGAGACTCTGTTTGAGAATAATCCTGTGGGAGAATGATTCTGTGGGGAAGAGAAACACCCTGTTGGATGATCTGCTGATTTGGAGAAATAAACTCAGCTGGGGATGAATTTCCATTGCTGGTGATAAATAAACTCTGTCGGGGATTGAATTTCTGTCGGGGATTGAATTTCTCCCTGTTTCTGGAATTACAAGTAATCACTACAACATTTGTTGTCTCTGGCAACACTTTTTTAGGTAACATGTAGAAATTGTTGCCTTAAATTCATATAGGCAACGATTTACGATTGTTGTCAAAAATATGTTTGCAACCCTTGATAATCGTTGCCTAAAATACTTTTGGGGACGTTTATGGAGCGATACTCTTTTATTTTTTTGCCAACGGTTGTTAATTGTGCCCTTAACTGCTTTTGGGGATGATTTTAGAGCGTTAAAATATTATTTCTTTAGCAATGTTTGACAATTGTCCCCTAAAATATTTTTGGGGACATTTTTAGATTGTCCCCTAAAATAATTTGATTTTTGATGTCTACATACGATAATTTTTACTACTTAAATATTACCGTACGATTGTGGCGTATCACAAGTTTGAAATAATTTTATGTTTAATTTCTAGAATAGTAATTACGAAGACAATCTTCATTTATGATTCAAAATGTATGCCACTATCTAACAAAGTACTCTCCTTCTCATTGAAGATTTGTTAACAAAAAAAAATACATGGGTAAAAAAAAGGAATACTGAGGGGTATTTTAGCCACAAAAAATATGTTCCAATTAGTGACTATTCTCCTTCTCCTTTGCGCTCATTGCAGGTTTATATTTTCAGCCATAAACCCTTGCCATGGCGGTCACAGCAATTTCAGAAACCTCTCAAATCCACAGATTCCCTCAATACAAATACATCCACGCCGTCCGTTGGATTCTGGTTCTCTCCGCATTCAACCGCTTCGCTGTTCTCGCTTCCTCCGACTCCGATTCCGACGTCTCTTCCATCGAAATCCACTCTTTCAAACCAAACCCTATTTCCTTCGATTTACATTCTTCATGGGCCTCTCCTTCCCCAATCTCCTCTCTCAAAGCCTCGTAGTTCCTTCAGAAATCAGTCATCTTCTGTCTCTCTTACCTCACACCTAAAACAACAACAACATAATGAACCCTAGATCAAAACCCGATTCGGCGACGGTGTTGTCCTCCTATCCAGATTCTGGTGGCCTTGGGTGTGGCTATGTGATGAATAGATGGGGCTTCGCGGTGGGTTCAGTATCAATGGCGCTTGGAGATGGTGTCGCAGATGAGAGATCGAGTCCCAGAGGTCTGGGTTTTGTGTCGTGGTTGAGTTGTCGGTGGAACAGTTAAAAAGGCTTACGATCTTTTGGAATCCACACCAGATGCTTTCATGCTGTAACAATTTTCCAATCCAGCCAATACTCAGGTATAAGGTTAACAGAACTTAAATTACTATTTCGGTTCAAAACAGTCTTGTTTCAAATCACTATTGTTCCGCGATATGCCTTCAGTACAAGTTTTGTCATATAGTGGTTATAGCGTCTCTATGGCACTGTTATGTATCAGAGTTCAAACCAATAGCTATTTTTTGCAATCTGCAGTTGGCAATACAGTTCTGAAATCTTTGATATTTTGGCGAGTTTATATCTAATTTACTATAAAACTGGAAAACAGGTGCATTTTGAAACAACAGGTCCAGAGATATGGGAGGATACAAACGGACAAGTGGACATTTTTGTTATGGGAATAGGTAGCGGTGGCACAGTTTCTGGGGTTGGAAAATATCTTAAATCCCGAAACCCCAACGTTAAGGTGATTTTCTTCATATCACAATTAAAATTACAAACTAAACACTGTTCTGTTAGATACTCTTAATGAATCCTTTGAAATGTTTTCAATCTTATCAGATATACGGAGTAGAGCCATCTGAAAGTAATGTTCTCAATGGTGGTAAACCAGGTAAATATCATAGTTCATTTCTTAGTCATTTTTGGTATCTGTGAAGTGATTTATAGAAATATAGATGTAAAAGATGGTTAAAATAACGGTAGAAAATAATGAAAATAGTTATCGCAAATTCTGATGTGGTCCATATATCCAGGTCCTCATCATATAACTGGAAATGGTGTTGGATTCAAACCAGACATATTGGACATGGATGTAATGGACAAAGTTCTTGAAGTAAGTACATGTGATTACCTTCTTCTACATAGAAATTTAGCTTGAAAGCTTTGTGTTTTTTCTAACTGTCACAAACTTACGATGTTGTAGGTTAGCAGTGAAGATGCAGTTAACATGGCTAGGACATTAGCCTTGAAAGAAGGTGTTGTACCCCAAAATTTGCCCTCGTATTTTTCCACAAGAAATCATAGCCTCGGGCTTTTCCTGATTTTTCAGATTGGCATGAGAATCAGTCAAACAAACTTTTTCTTATCAGTCTATCCAAATTAGGGTTTTCATGGCTCTGGAACAGTTCAAGCAGACTGCTAGGATTTTGGTTGAGTTTGGCTCAAAGTTTGATCAGACAGGCGTTTCTCCAGTGTTAAGTCAAAAATCAGGGTTTTATGCGCATATTTCTCAGAGAGAATTATTTCTATCAGTTCTTTTCAATTTACTCTGAGATATGGACTGAGGCTGTTGATTGAGAATTTGCAGTGTTTGGATTTAATCAGTGAAAAGAGGACATGTGGACGTTTGTTGTTTAGCTGTGCAATGCTTTGATTATTCGGAATTCCGGACGTTTTTTGGTTATTTATTATTCTGAGTTAAAATGGTTGGGATTTATTTCCAGTTATTATAATTTAAGAATTATAAATAATTAAATAAATAGTTGAAGAAGAAAAAGAATTAACTGATCAAAAAAAGGATGTTTATTCATTTTGAACTGTTTGTTACATATATTATTTAAATACTGTAAATTTATTTACAGTTATTTACATTAATATTATTACAAATAATTTAAATTGAAATAAAACTATGTCCTAAATATCTTGAAATCTTCATCTTCTACTGATGCTCCTTTGGCTTAATTGACTTTTATCTGCAAAAACAAGAAAAGAAGAAAAGTCAAAAGCAGGTGAAATAAAATTAAAAGCAGACAGTTAATTTAAGAGTTCATCATTAAAAGTAACTGGCCGGAATCAGTTGTTCCCCTCTCTGCAAATCACGAGATTTCTCTCGGTTCAGAAAGAGGAATAGAATATGCTTGCAAATAAAGTATGAAATGCACAAAAGTTATAATTGCACAAATTCAAATTTTCAAACATACTGCATTGTCAACAAATTGCCCATTTCAAAAAATTCCAAACAAAGTCCAAAGGCAAACTGAACTGAATTGACTAACTGAAAGTTACAAGTTCAAACTATCCAAAGCTGTCAAAAAACTGTCAAAGGTACAAGATCCACCAAAAAGGCTATCCAAAAGCTGTCCAAAAGATATAGAAAGATATCATGAAGTACAAAGTATGCAGAGGAAAATATGCATTGCAAGCAACATCAAAATATCATCATTTTCAGGCCAGTACTTTTTCAGCATAAGACAAATTTAAGCAATATTAAATGCTTTAAATCTGTGTGGAGAGAGAAAAAGAGAAAAAAGAAGAAGGCTTACAGCAGGCTTTAGGCTTGAGAAAAGATATAAACAAACTTATCAGAACAGTAGAAAGGAAGGCAGAGATATCACAAAGCAAAAGGGCTCTCAAACTGTAACAACAAAAAACTGCCTCCATAAGCTCACTACAAACAACAAAGCCAAACTTTGAAGCTTGTAACCTATAATCTCAAAGCTCCCTGAAAGCCAAAACCTGTCAAAACCAGCAAAAAAACCCAAAAGGCCTTTCAAGACTGCCTCTAAACCTGCATCAAGTCAAAAAGCTTCAAACTGAAGCTTAAACCTGTTTCAACACAAGCCTAAGCCTCAAACCAGAAACACCACAAACTAGTTTTGAAACTCAGAAAACCAGAAGCCAAGGACACAAAACTTGTGTCCAACCTGTTCTAAGCAAAAAACAAACCTCAAACAATCAAAGAGCCCTCAACCTGTCAAGCCTAAACTTGGGAGCCTGTACCAATACTGATATAACCAGTAAACCTGCCTAAAAAAGCTCAATGTCCCAACCTGCATAAGCCTTATTCAAACAAGCAATATTTCCAAAACCTGATTCAAAACCTCAAAATCTAACAAAGCCTAAAAAGCCAAGCATCTCAGAGGCATCAGATATCAGAACCAAAGAGACCCTCAGAACTGTGTTCATCACAGGGTCCAGCAATAAGCAATCACAGGGTCCAACATTTCAACAACATCATCAAGACAACTCAGAATAAGCATACAAGCATACAAGCAAGCTATTCAAAAGGCGAGGCTAACAAGAGAAGAAGAAAAGAAGCATCTCAGCATATCAACATCAAAGGCAACAGAAGCAAGCAAAAGAGAAGAGGAAAAGAAAGTCGTGCTAAATGTTTTTAGGCGTTTCATCATCAAACCAAAAAGTGAAACAAAGGTACCAGATTTCCAAGCCAGCACATCACTCTCCTCCGCCCTTGGCCTCCTGAAGCACCTCAGCTCCGTTCTCCTCCGTCTCCAACAAAGGTATAATTTCTTTTCTTTTCATACACCTCAAATAGCAAACAAATACCAACACATCAAAATCAGAACATAAGTAACACATAAAAGCTTGAAAATCTAAAAGCATGTTAAGACCTAAAACAGAACCGTTACCTGTGTACAAACATCACTGAGAGACCATGGAGGGAAGAGGAATGGACGGTGGAGCCCGGTGGCCCTAGGAAGAGGAGCGTCAGGAGGCGTGCTAGGTTTGAGAGGATGAAAAGGAATGAAGACGAAGAAGAGCTCCGCTCTGTAAATCACACAAACCCTATTTCCCAAATGGAACGAACCCACTGAAACCTTAAACGAAAACATGTAAAACGTAATGGGCCTTTTCCCTATTCAGTTTGCTTAAGCCCCTTGGGAATCTGGCGTGCACCCCACCTCTTTTCCCTTATTCTGATTAACTTGTTTGGGCCAGCATAAGTCCCTAAGCCCATTTGAATTCTCTTAACCTTTTTTGTTATATACATTTTTAAAACTAATACTTTTTTACATATCACCTCTTTTTTTTAAACTAACACAATAAATTTTTTACACTAAATTTTATTAACTCTTTTATTTTCTTTTTTATAACACAATTAAATTTTGTAAAATAAAATGATACACTAAACTCTTTTTATATATAAACTTTTCTTAAATTACTCTTTTAGTTAGTATAATTATAAAATACATAAAAATATAGACTTCTTTTTTTTAAGGTTGAATATTCTTTTTAACTAAAACATTTTATATACGTTAACATTAATACATGAAAAAAATAGAATTTCTTAAAACCATTTTCTTTTCTTTTGTTAAATTTTTTTTTGTTTGTACATATTAACAAAGATACAAAAAGAATAAACAATACTTAATTTTTCGTTAAGTTAACATTTTTCGCACTTATAAATAATCATAGACTTACACAAATACATTGATACATTTACATTATTCTATTCTTATACATTGCTATACACTACATATTACATTTGCGATTGATTCGATTTGGTTGTAAATTTATTTAGACACTACTCTCCTAATATGTCTCATCCCCATTTGTAAATACTTGTACCCCCACTCCCGGATACTTATTTGTAATAGTAGACTTTAAATTCCCGCAATTTATCGCTTTCAAATATACCATGGTTAGACCTAGGGTTTGTATGTACATAAAATCAAACGCTAGATAACCTAATACAAAGATAAATGCATGACAATCAATACACAATTCACACTTGCACCCCTAGGGTAATCCCGCTTGTTGCCTTCCAAAATGGGCCATGCTTGCACGTTGAGTATCTTTGGCAAAACAATTCAAATGATCATAAGTACCTCGATGACGCTTTCGAAAGTTGCCTATCAAAATGATCAAGTCCCTTCAAGTAAAATTGCCAAAGACACTTGGAACCATTGCATTCATGGTCCATACGATGACCCGCGCCCGTCCCGTTAACATCCTAACACAAGATTGTCCACCAAATACAATGGTGGAACAATATTGTTAAAAGGGTTAAAACATGAGAAAAACCTTTGAGTAAATTTAGGGGTAGACAACTCTTAGTTACTTGATCAAACTTGCAAAACACACTTGCCTACTTTTCAAAACCCACTCCACAAACACTTTCAAAACAAACTTCCAAAAACATTTGAAACATCTTTTCGAAAAGATACACACCTTTGTATATACTCAAACATGAGTCATTACAATGGTTGCCTAGACAAGGCCTCTTTTTCAAAACATTTTCAAACACACACACGCACACCATAATTTCAAGCAATTGAAAATCAAGGCAAGTGATTTAAAAACAAGTAACTAAGAGCCCATGGATAACCATGGATGAAAAGGGTGCTAATACCTTCCCTTTTCATAATCTACCCCACGAACCCACGAAACATCTCAAAAGGTTTTTCCTGTGCTTTTTAACCTTTCCTTTAGGATAAAATAAAAATTCGGTGGTGACTCTTTCTAAACCGAACAAGTGCGAATACAAACGCAAAACCTCAAGTCAGTTCTCCCACCGTATCACAGAACTGGCGACTCTGCTGGGGATTTTTATAAGTGGGGTTACCTTAGGATTAGACCACTCTTGTTTTCAATTGCTTGCTTTGTTTGCTTTTATATTTGTGGGCTTGCATCGGAGTTTCATAGATCCTAACTCGGATCTGGGGAATACCCTTTAGGTAGCATAAGCTGTGAGGGACCTGTCCGGCGTAGACCGACACGGGTGAAGCAGTGGCTACGTTGGTGTGACACCTTGGTTTGTATCGATATCCCTTGTGTTGCAACGAGGAGAATATGGGTCTTCTGAGGAGTCATTAAGCACCAACCGACCTTAGAACCCTAAATTGACCCAACTTGGCCATAGAACGGTAGCAGTATGCTACACTCATTGAGGCTAAACTCTCGCGATGGTTCTGGCTGCAAGAAAAGATTGCGATGCTGGAGTTATGACCGGTTGAGGGTAGTCAGTGATATTGAGATCTTCTAGAACCCTGTTACTTTTGATAGGATAGGTCTTAACCAACGAAACTTCAAGAGGGTACTTACCTACAAACCCCATGCAAGCCTAAACCTCGGGACTTGTTTTGCTTTGTGTAAATATGATTACCTGTATATACACTCACTTGCTTTTGCATACATGTACATAACATCATAACATCATACCATAGCATTTTCAATAAACCATTTCAAGGATCTCGAGGGTTCTTTTGATGCAGGGTCACGTTGAACCAGACGTCTACCAAAGGGCAAGAGGTTTCTCCTCTAAACAAATGCCATCAAAGATCAAGTGCAACAACTTGAATCAGGGGCTATGACCCACTCGACATGGTGAGCTTGATTCTCGTGGAAAGACATCCACCGGTA